TTTTTTTTTTTTTTTTTTGAGAGGTTTTTGCTTTAGGGTACATGCGCTTACCAAAAAGACACAGAGAGAGACAGACAGAAAGCAAGAACTCACCCCCCAGGGGGGATGGCCATGCCACAATCCCTTCTCCTCCATTCTCTTCTCCGGATCCTGGGCAAGCACACACATGCACCCGGCATGAGTTTAAGCCACTAGATCCGGGACTTGAACCGCGGTTGACTATGTGGGAGTCCAGCAACATGGCCATTATGCCAACTGCTGGTCCCTATCTTTTCTTCCCATATGAAGGATAATCTTCCCAGATATAGTATTCTTGGTTGAAATTGTTTTTTGTTTAACGCTTTAAATATATTTTCCCATTCTTTCCTTGCTGCATTGATTCTGGAAGGTCTGACATTAGCTAGGTGGGATAACCTTTGTATGATGTTTTCCTAATCATTTTGTTGTTGTTGTTGTTGTTGTGAAGAGGTTTTGCTGTAGGGCGTACATGCACACATGCTAACTGGAGAGACACACACATAGTGAGAGGGAAGGTGAGAAATCACCCCCGGGAGGATGGCCATGCCACATTCCCTTCCCCTCCATTCCCTTCTCCATTCTCCTTCCAGGATCCTGAGCATGCATGCACATGCACCTGGTGTGATGTTCAAACCACCTGGCCTGAGACTTGAACCACAGTCAGCCATGTGGGAGTCCAACAGTGTAACTGCTATACCACCTCCTGGTCCCTCTTTGTCATTCTTGATTATTTTTCTCCAAGTGAACTTCAGAAGTTGCATTTTTTTTTTTAGTTCTTTTTACCTTACTGATATTTTATGGTTATGACATTACTTTATAGGTAGATTTATACAAAATTGTTTTTTCAGCCTCTTTCATTTCTCTATTTTTTTTCTTTATTCATGATTAGAGAACATGCACCCAAATAATAGAGTTGAATACCCTCGATGGGGTCCGATCACATCATGATCCCCTCTTTCCAGTCCTCCAGCCTGTCAGATCATGGGGACCCATGTGTGTGCCCAGCATATTTCAGCCTGGTAGGGCCGGAGCATTCGAACAGCAGTCACCATGTGGGCTCTGGCTTCTCTTGAGCGTGCATTACCATTGGGCGACATAGCCAGCCTAGTTTCTCTTACAGTTCCATCTGCCTTAGTGAAATTGGTCTATATCATTCCATTGTTATTTTTTTTAATTACCATGTTTAATTACCTTAGAAATATTTTTTAAACTTTTAATCTGCTGTGGAACATTTTAAGTGCTACAAATGGTACTTGTTTCTTAAAGGCTTGGTGGTAGAGTTCACCTGAGAAACTGAATGTGCTCTAACTTTTGGTGGGGAGGGTGGTTCTCAGTGACTTACTGTATTATTGTACTTCTAATGCGATCAGTCCGTTTTCTTATTAGGAAACAGTTTTAGTAACTTAGTACATTTTCCTTGAAAATTATTCATTTGGGGACTAGCAGATGGCTAATGGTCATGTTGCTGGACTTCCTGTGGCCAACTGTGGTTCAAGTCTGAGACCCAGAGTCTTAAAATTCACTCTGGGCATATGTGTATGCCCACAATCCCGAGAGGAGAATGGGGAAGGAATTGTGACGTGGCCATCTTCCCCAGGCAGGGGCAGGGGGAGATTTCTTGCTTTCTGTTTCTCTCTCTCTCCAGCAAGTGCATGCTCCCTATAGCAAAAATCTCTTCCTCCCCAAAAAGGAAAGAAAATTATGCATTTTATTGAAGTTTTCTAACATATGTGCATAGATGAACATAGTACTTTTACATTTTTCTTAATTTTCTGTAATGTTATTTTGTGTCCTTTATCTTAATATATATTTTTCTCTTTCCTACAGGAATAGGAAATATAGTGGTCATTATGGTTAGCTACCCAAAAGGAAGAGAAATTTTGGATCTGGTGGTAAGAGGGATTCCAGTCCAGATGACCATCGGGATTGGCACCCACCACGTGCAGGAGTTCATCAGTGGCCAGTCCGTGGTGTTCGTAGCCATTGCCTTTATCACCATGATGATTATATCATTAGCCTGGCTAATATTTTACTATATACAGCGTTTCCTGTATACCGGCTCACAGTTTGGAAGTCAGGTAGTTATGGGTAACTCTCTTCATTTTGCTTTTTGAAAGATAGTTGTTAATCTATCCTGTATTGCTTGAAGGTATATTTGACCATATCCTAATTTCCTTTCACTCATAATATTTATGTATGTGTATGAGTTTTTAAAATAACTTCAATTGGAATCTATTAAATGTTCTGTTTTGTGGGAAGTTAGATATCTTTAAATCCAGGTAACTTTTTGCATGTTTGGCTTCTTTGTCCTTTTCCAGGAGTGACAAAAAGGGACTGTCCTCATGTAGCCTTAGTTCTCCAGCCAGGCCTAAAGGGGAGGAGCCGAGCGGAAGGGGCTTCCCTGTCTCCATCACAGAGCAGCTGTAAAGCCAGTCATCTGCAGAGAGCCTGTCTCAGTAACAGCAAAGAAAGGGGTGATGGGAGCCAGGGGTTCCAAAAGGGGCAGGCCTTTGAAATTCACACCTGCCTCTGGGGTCCTGGAAGGAGAGCCATCCTGACCAAAGACTAGGAAGGGCTCTTTCCTTGTAGGACCCTTAATAGATGAGGGGATGGTAACCCATCCTCAACTGAGCACTTCTTGCCAACATTTAAACATAGAAATTGGTCTATTCCAAGTTCTTTAGACTTGGAATTGAAAATAGTATTCTCAGTGAAACAGCTCTCTTAAGTTACATATTGCTGGTCTGTATATTGAGACTTAAATGGGGTTTTTTTGTATGTATTTGGTTTTTTAGTTATTGTCCGTGCTGTCATTTAACTTAAATAAATTTTTATAAGCTTGCTTTTTATAATGTATGACTTTTTTAAGGAAAAAAAAGGATTATCTAATTTAAAAGTTTGAATAATAATAATAATATTTTTCTACCCAAGAGCCATAGAAAAGAAACTAAGAAAGCTATTGGCCAGCTTCCACTTCATACTGTAAAGCACGGAGAGAAGGTAATACTTTCGTGGTTCTGTTTGGTTGGTTTTGTTTTGTGGTTTAGACTAGAGAATGAGTCTTAAATGCTTTCCTTTCAGTCTGCCAGTTCAAAGTACTGACCATGTGGAGTTTGGGCTAGTTCATGTCAGTGCTGTCTTTCATGTGTGAGTTCATTTTAAAGAAGAGTTGGCAGGCCTATTCTCCTAGTGAAGAGCCTTTCAGACCCACACTTGACAATGTGGTGACCACTAGTCTATGTGGTATTTAAATTTAAATGAGTTCCATTTAAGTTAAAATCGAGTTCCTATATCTCACCAGCTACACGTCAAGAGTGCAGTAGCTGCATTGCCTGGTTGCGGTCCTGTGAGACTGTGCTGACATTCCCACCCTCAAGCAAGTTCTGTTGTCACACCCAGGTGGTTGTAAAGAAGCCAAAAGACGGAAAGTCTGCACCATGGGCTCCGATACCTCAAATCCAGTTTTTTTAATCCGAGGCTAAATGTGTCCCTTCTACAATGTTCTTAATTACAAGAAGACCCTTCTACAACTTTCTTAATAACAAGAAGAAAATATTGGCGTTTGTGAAGAAGGGGAGAAAGATGTTTTTAAAACTACTTTTTAAAAGAAACATTTTGACATGGCTAATCTCAAACTTAAAAGTTCAAAATCAAACAAGAGTTTTAAAGCATTTTTCGAATAGGACAAATTCTGAATCTAAAACGTGGGGTGCTTAGAAGACAGATCCTTAAAAGGAAAACTGCAGGGGCCAGCAGGTGGCATGTGGTTAAGGAGCTGGATTCCCACATGGCTGACCATGGTTCTTGTCCTCAGCATAGTGTCTTGAGCATCACGCTGGGCACATGTGCATATGTGCCCAAAATCCCAAGAGAAAAACAAGGGAGAAGGGATTGTAGCATGGCCATCCCCTCAGGGATGATTTTTCACTTTCCCTCTCACTGTGTCTCTTTGGCGCACACACATACTCTATGGCAAAAACCTAAAAAAAGGAAACTGATCTATTGTGATAGCATTCTTTCTTTTCATAGTTCATCTTCTATCCTATGAAGTGTTGATGGCTGCGTTGACTTGTATCAATTCAGTCATTTTTATTTTCACTTTATTTTCCTGAGCTGTTGAGACTTGATCTCTTTCACCCTCCAGTCTCTGCTCCCTGTTTCATATAAAAGAGTAACTACACTTAGGGTCGGTATCTCTTCCTCTGACCTACCTGAAGGATTAAAACATAAATGACAAACTAATTAGAGACTGCTGATTTTTAAAATTTGGAATCTTGGTATTTACGGCTTAGGTGCTCTTAGAATGTATTGGTGGCTACCGTTCCTTCCCTAATAACTTTTACATTGTAGTACAATCAAATTTCGATAGTTCGTGCAGGATGTAGGTTTCTTTTCCAAGCTGATATATGGAACAGAAAAGATTAAAACACACACACACACTCTGTCATGGCTTAAGGTCAACATGTGATTTACATGCCACCGAGAGTCCTTGGGGGAGATGCCCACTCATGCCTGTGATGAACTGGCTTTCGACATGACCACGTACTGGACGAGCATGTGGTCTATTTTCCTCCTGGGACACGCCTTCTGTTCGCATTAGCAGGAAAGGGCAGTTGTTACATGTGAGAAGATGTAGTTTCTTATGCCTAAGTTACTGAATCAAATCTACGAGAATTTAATAATGTTTTCCTGTTTATATGCAGAACATTTTTGGAAATAGAGTTCCAGTGACAGTTTTTTGAAAGTTGTCAAAATAATGTTTGTTTGTTTGTTTGTTTGTTTTTTAAAAAAAGGATTCCTGGGTCAGCAAGTGGCCTAGAATTTAAGTGGCTAGATCCCACAGGGCCACCTGCATGGTTCCAGTCCTGGACCCAGTAGCTTGAAAAACATGCCTTTATGCATGCCCAAAATCCCAAGAAAAATAGAAGAGAAGGAATTACACTGCGGGCATCCCCTCGAGGGGGTGATTATTCACTCCTCTCTACCCCTCATCTCTCTCCAGAGAGAAGTGCACGTGCCCTATAGCAAAAACCTAAAAAAAATTTTTTTTAAGGATTCCCAAGGGTCCAAGAGGTATAGACATACATTTTCTGACAATTTCTTGTTTTAATTTGTATAGAGAACAATGCTGTGTTTCTTATCCAGATGTTGACATGTTATCCATTCTGGAGGCTGGGATTTTGATTTTTCTTTTCTTTTGGACTGCAAACCACTCTTGGGGAATTGAAAAATGATCTCATTTTTATGTGGTATATAATAAATAAGTGACAGTATTTACTTTTGTTGCAATGTATAATTTAAACTTTTCTCCTTTTATTCACTGGGGAGCACATGTGTACATATGAGAGGAGCATTCTCTGTAGGGTCTGGTCACCCACAGTCTCCTTCCTCCAGTCCTCCAGCCTCTTGGATCTGGAGTACTCTCACGTGTTCCCTGCGTACCATGTGTAATTTAAAGTGTCCTTATAAAGTTAATGTTTTCTTACCATTTATTTATCTTCTTGTTTGTTGTGATTTTCAAGTCACAGGGTTCAGTACTTGAACCGCAGTCAGCCATATGGGGATCCAGTACCTTAACCACCCACCACCTGTTGGTTCATTATAAAGTTAATTTTAATAATCTGTAATAACAGTATCTACATACAAAATCAGATTTTTACTGCTCCCCTATTAACAAGTGGTACATATGGCTAAATATAATTTTAAATAATTACTTAAGGGCCACGTAACTGTGTTTAACTACATAAGGGCAGTATATCCGTGTTCTATGGAATACACTTGCCAAAGCTGCAGCTGCACACAGACCCAGTTGGTAGTCCCTAAGGCCCTACCCTAGCATCCCTAGAAAGAAGATCTTCTTGGGTCAGGTGACCATTCTGGCCCAGGCTGCTCTGGTCAATGGCATGGGGCCATGTGGGTAGACTCAGGGGTTACCCAGAGAGATTAAGAGGGCTGACACCACCACCAAAATCTATGACTCACGGCTTCTTAGAAGTGGAAATTTTACCACAGGACTGCTTCCTCCTCAGCAGTTTTCATTTATTTGTAGTAAATTTGTTAATTCGTTAGATGAAAAACAGTAACTTTTCATTTATAATGCTTTCATCACAATGAGGTGAATATGCAGACATTTAGCCACATGGATTTCATTTGCAAGTTGTAACTGTTCTTTACCAAATATTTTTAAAATAATTCTGTTATAGAAACAAGTAGCTTATTGGCTGTTCAGTCTCTTTAGGTAATCTCTTGTTAGTGGCAAAAAGTAAACACCAGATATACTTATCTGTGTCTCAGTTACAGGCTGTACCAACACACAATCGTCTCTATGGCTTTCAGTCAGGACCTAGTGTATGGAACAAGGATTTTTGATATACCAAGGATGCAATGAACTCTCTTCTTTTTACAGGGAATTGATGTCGATGCTGAAAATTGTGCAGTGTGTATTGAAAATTTTAAAGTAAAGGATATTATCAGAATTCTGCCATGCAAGTATGTTCTTTTTACCTACTGAGATATTAAAATATTACTTGACAAATTTCAGGCTTCTAACAGAAGAGTTACATGTCTTTTATGCTATGAAGATCTCGCTATCTTGTAATCATCCCATCTCTTAGAGAAGAAGCTTGGGCTCTAATACTGTTTTCAAGGCTCCTTGAAATTGCTTTGCTTGGGAGTCTTAGGAGACCATTAAGACCTATTATATATCTTTGCTATAGATTTGATTTTAGTCTTTTAAGCAAGGCTCCATTAGGACCCTAGGAATTCCATGACCTATGTAGCCTTGCATAAGGCATGGTGTATCAGAAGCTAGGAAACTAAAACAAGAAAGGTAAAGGGCAGAGGGAGACCCAGAGAGCCTGAGGGGGTAGACCCAGGGCAGAGGTTGGCTAGTATCTGCACCTTGGGTTTGTGTTCTCTGTGAAGTGAATATGCTTCCCTTCACTCTGATTACTCAAGGAGCTTTGTTTTAGCATGGGCAAGTTGCAGTTTCCTTTTTAATGATGGGATACTTTGGTAACTTTTTCAAAGATTAGCAGAAAGGTTTATTTTGTGTACATAAATTGTATGTTTTAAGTCTGATCAGTTTTAATCATATTTGACCCCATTAGAAGCAAGTCACAAGTTAATAATTACATTTGCTTTGTTTGCAAAGTACTTTAGTATATTACACAAATATTTTATAGTAAATCAAGTTCTGAATAATTCTATGAAAGAAATGAAGGAACAAGTGTTGGCATAACAGAAGTCCCTGGATGAACGTAGCTGTTCAATCCCCAGGCTTTTATGTGGGGTTTACTCAGTAGGCACTTCATAAAGTGAGGTGAACATAGGTTCGTAACATCCTACAGAAAATTTTTAAAGTAGAAAAGAACGTTCACTTGAGGCTGGTTTAGGACCAGTCTTTCTGACTTAGAAATGATGCCCGGGACACTACACGGATAAGCAGCACTGAGTGCATGCTGATGGCCGGGCCAGGGTTCATACTGACCCACCCGTGCAGACATGCCAACACGTGCACATTGCCTGGTCTCCTAACGGATTTTTTACTTCTCCCTCCATTTTTTCCTGTGCTTTATATAATGCATTTCCTGATAGAGCCAACATGTTCTTGTGTGGTGGTGTGAAAATGATTACCTGTGTCATTTCATTGCAGTTAGGAGTAGAGGACAAGGTGGCCTGTACTACACTATGCCGCTCGGTGTGGCTATTTTAAGTGCACTAGTAGAGTTCTGTGTGAAGTGCAGGTCTCCAGAGCACAGTAACAGTAATGAACACTGATTCGTTATGTCCCAGCCCTGCACTGTTGCATGCATGTTGCGTGTGCCCTCAGAGCAGCCCGTGTAGGTGCAGAGGGTGGGAGCCCAGTTCAGGGTTGTGGCTCTCAAGTCGCACAGCTGGTTTTTGGGCCTTACCTGCCTCGCTCTAAAACCTACACTCTTAACTCCTGGTCTTCACATGCAGATAAAACAGATTCATCACATGCGAAGAAAAGTTGCCAAGGCAGATCAGCAAAATATGTGGTCATATATGCCTTTTTTCTTTTTATATTTGATAAGTGATGGGTGCTTATAGAAAAATGTAGAATGTACAAAAAGAGAGGAAAAAAGAGTTTAAGTCTTCCACCCAAAGATGATTTGTTAATATTTTGCCATGTTTCCATTTGAGTCATTTTATGGACATGTTTAAGATACTATGAGTTAATTGATTAATGTTAGTGTATGCCACATTTATTCCCAAAAGGTGCTCAGGTAACTTACAGAGGCACATAAGAATATACAGCCTAGCATGAGGCAGAAATAAGCCATGCCATTTTTGTGGAGTGAAGAGAAAATTTCCCTGGAAGATTCCATTTAACATAGAACATAGTCTAGATAATGACTGAGGAAAGTGACTAGATATTTATGTTGATTTGACACCAGCTAACTTGTAATGAGAGGATGAATTGGTAGAATGTCTTATTTCCTTTATAAGATATATAACATTGATTTTAAAACATTAACACATACTTAATTTTTTTAGGCATATTTTTCATAGAATATGCATTGACCCATGGCTTTTGGATCACCGAACGTGTCCAATGTGTAAACTTGATGTCATCAAAGCCCTGGGATATTGGGTTTGTTACACTTTTGTTTATATTCAATCTCTGCCCCGGTTCTTCCTGAGTGATTCACTTTCATTACTGACCAGAGGCAAGAGGAATGGATGAAATGCTCCTTCTAACATCCTTGCGGTTCTCTAAAGAAGTTTTCATCTTTATTAAAGATGATAAGGCAGTCTAAAACAACAGCAAACTAAATTTATGGTGATGAATTAATGCGCTAGGATGTCTCCCAGAGCGTTTGTGCTGGCATACTAACTGCACTGAAGGAGATGTGTGTGCTCATCAGCTGTGTCTAAACAAGAATCATAAAATGTCTGAGACAGAAGGAGCTTCCTTTTCTGGCTTAAGATGCACATTTTACATGTGAAGAGACCAAAACCAACATTTGATAGCAGTTTCTCCCATCCCAGGTTTCAGAATCAGATAATGCTGGGAAAATTGATTCTGCATTGCATTTGGCACGTCAGTTTGATACTTCAGTGGTCATAGGTCTTCCTGAGAAGATATGAGGGCAGAGTGAAAGAGATCTTGATACAGGGTGTGCATCCCTAATCCAGAAATCCAAAATGCTTCAAATCTCAAACTTTGAGCACCAATGGGAAATTCCACACCTGACCTCATGTGACAGGTTGCAGTCAAAATGCAACTCAGAAATAGACTATGTGTAGAATGTATATGAAAAAAGTAATTTTGTGTTTAGGTTTGGGTTTTTCCTCCAAAATACTCATAATTCATATGTAGATATTCCAAAATCCAAAGTAATTCAAGATCCGAAATGCTTCTGGTCGCAGTTAATTCAGGGAAGGGATCCTCAACCTGCAGTAGATGGCCACATGCCAAGGGTCTCGCATACAGGGCCAGATGAAGTGCTGGTACTGTCGCTGCTTTACTACTTAGGAATTCAGGCTTGAGAAACAAGGTCATACGGCTGGTTAATGGAGAATCAGCTTCCAGACACAACTTTGCTTAATTCCAGGGCTCAAGTTTTAACACTGCTCTACCCAAAGAGAACATAAGGGGAAATAATAGATCTTTCCAGGTCCTTGTACTTTTTTACTGTTTTTAGAGTTTATATGTAATCTCTTTTTAAAGAGTTATTTTTTATTTAACTATTTTCATTTGAACAGAGAGGGACAGAGTGAGAGAGAGAGGGAGAAAGTGAGAAAGAAAGCCTCCAGGTCCAGGACTCAAACCTTAGTCGGCCATATGGGAGTCCAGTGCCCTTAACCACCATGGCATCTGCCAGCCCCGTTTCTATACAATCTATTAACGTCCCAAGTAAATAATAAATTTCCTAAATAAAAGTCTTTGAAAGAAAGTAATTTATATATCAAATACTTTTCTTACTGCTAAACGTCTTTTTAGAATTTCTTTGAAAGGTCTTTCATGTGCTTCCCAGAGAGAGACAGATAATGAGAGGGAAAATGAGAAATCATCCTCTGGGGTGATGGCCTTGCTGCAACCTCTTATCCTCCATTCACTTCCTGGGATCTTGGACATGCACACGTCCAGCATAAATTTCAAGCCACCAGGTCCAGAACGTGAACCAAAATTGGCCATGTGGAAATCCAGGGGCGTAACCACTACATTATCTGCTGGTCCAAATAGTTTTAGAATTTTTGCAGTGTTTATTAAGAGTATTTTTATGGTGATCACTTTATGCAACTTAAAGCAGTAATAGCTATCATCAAAGAACTGACCTGTGAAGCGAGACCATTATTTCCTGGGGTGTGGGTCTAACATGACCTCTTTTCTAGTTTACAGTGTCTTCAAAAGAGACTTAAGCAGCCTATACTTCAATAAGTACCATAATTCTCCATGAATTATATTTTTAATGATGAGTTCCATAATGCCTTTGCTGTAGTACAAAGGAAGATAAAGGTCAGGATTCAAGAACTATCTCACTGGAAACTCCTCCTGCTTTGCTATCTAGAAAATGTGTCTTTCCTCTCAAATTGCTAAATTTCAACTTTCCTGTGGTCCTTAATAAGTTCAGCTTTATTTAGCATGGTAGATCATGCTTTTTTTTTTTTTTCAGTGAGATTTTTGGTATGGGGCACGTGGGGACAGAAAAAGACAGAAAAACAGAAAGCAAGAAATCACCCCCTAGGGGGATGACCATGCCACAATCCCTTCTCCATTCTCTTATCGGGATTTTGGGCACGCACACACGCACACACACACACACACCCAGCATGGGTTTTAAGCCACTGGCTCCAGGATTTGAACCATGACATAACCATTATGCTATTGGCTGGTCTCAGCTCATACTCTCTTAATGAACTGGTTCATCCTCACTTTGCTCAAGAACCTGGAGCTTAGATGAGAGGATGAGCCTTCACAGAAGAGCATTTTCAATTATAGTACAAGAAACTTGAGAGAGTCTAAATTATTTGCTTCATTAGTTAGTAATTTAGACATTTATATAAAAGGAGTTTCCTTAGCACCAGAGACTTCAATCCTCATGAGTTTTGATTTTGGAAATACAGCTACATATATATTTCAAGTACAGGGGTCTTCAGAAAGTTCATGGATATGTGCATTATGAAAACATACACAGGTTTAGACATATTTTTTTTTGCACCAAAATGAACTTTTTGAAGTCCCCACATATTAAAAATTCTTTATTTTGCGGAAGGTTGAGTTGCTTTCTTATAACATGTATTTCAGAAAGTTACCGTGTGTCTCCAGAATGCCTAATTTTTTAAAGAACAGAAACCTACAGTAACTAAGAAATTCACCTTTTATCCTTTTAATTGTTTTAATCCGTAGACAATAGGCCATTTTCTTCAGACCCACTGGCCACTCCTGCTGTGTATGTTTTAGATAGTCGTAGTTACTCTTAACTATTCTCCAAGCCTCTCCCTCACTCAGATTTTAAAGGCAAGCCTGTGGTTTGTCACTATAACCACTTCAATGTGTCACTTGTCGCTGCTGTTTGCAGTCATTCTGCAAGTTTCTAAGGTGCTAGCGCTGAACTTGGCTCAGGAGAGACAAGATGACTAAAGACTCACCCCTTACATGTGTGGGCTCTTAGCATCTACACTTTCTGGATTGGTGGGGTAAGGCCCTGCACGCAGACATGGCATGCCAGAGGAGGCATATTTGGAGTGCCTCCTGTGGGGACTCAGGAGAAGAACTCCCCCTGCCAGGTGGAAGTGGGCAAAGGAGGGAGTGTGTTTCAGAGGGTTAGTTGAGCTGACTGTTAAAGGATTTGTCAGACATATGAGTATCAATATATCCAGGTTGCCCATGCATCTGCAGGGGTGAATGGATGAGCTTTGGGGCTGGTGGGTAGTTAAGTTTGGCAGGTATTTAGGTAACAGATTGAGGTCGGCTGGGCAGGCATTTGCGTGTTACGTGATCCAACAGCAGCAGCACTTGTTACCTGGTTTTTTGGATGGAAGGGTGTTTAGTCACTGGTGAGGGGGCAGGGTGGGTGCCAGCACACAGGTGAGGCAGCTGGGAGGGTGTTTCACTTGCAGCAGGAGTAAGAGTCTGAGTCACACGCACACTTCTCCCACAGCGGCCCTCATCCAGTACATCACAACCAGCAGTTTCCCTCCTCGCGACAGTTTGGATGCAGATTAACTAGGCTTCTGGACATCCCCCTGTGAGTCAGAGAGAATCTCCAGCCCTCACTTTCATTATCTGACTTTCTTCAAAGCAGCAAATGGAAGAGGAGGGGGAGCTGGAGGCAGGTCTCAGCCGTCAGACAACCTGTCTATACAGAACCAGACTGATGTTTTTAAGAAAATCAAATACAGTCTGAAGCCCGCTGGCTCAGAAACCTTGCCCATCACTGAAGCCTCGGCGCCTCGCTGTCCGGCACCACGAGGCAGTGTGGGCACAGCCTCTGGGAGCAGTGCGCAGCCAGACTGGGTCCCATCCTCTGCTGAGGAGGAAGGAAAGTGTCAGAAAGCTTCACTTTCTGTCAGCAGATTGTTTAAAGGTGGTATTGCTTGTCGTCAAGGGAGTAAATGCTTTTTAGAATAAAAAACATGCAGGTCTTGGTAAGCTGCTTGTTGAGAAGTTAATATTTTCTTGCGAGGCGAGGTGAAGGACACATTGACATGCTTTTTACCAGATTCAGTATGTATGAGTAAATAATACTGTGTAGCAATGATGAGTAAGATGACAGCTAAGCTTTGATCGAGGCACTTAGCGAAGGCATTTTCTTCTCTATTCTGATTCTCAAGGGGGAGCCTGAAGATGTGCAAGACATGCCCGCTCCAGAACCTCCCCCTGGAAGTGTTTCGGTTGGAAATCTTAGTGTGACACTGCAAGATGAAGACAGAAGTGATGGGCGCAACTCACCATCGTCTTCAACTGATGAGTCTGTGCCCCAGCGTGACGCCAGCCTTAAAGAAGATGCAGGCGAAAACACAGCGTTGCTAGGTAAGCGCCTGCAGTTCCCAAACAGGTGACGTCATCAGGGATTGTGATTACAAGAAAACGAAACACCACATAAATGCGGAAAACGTGAGAACCATAATCCACCACCAGGAGATAGCTTTTTTAATTTTGGCTAGAGGGCATCTAGCGTGGTCTCACCAGAGAGACAGAGCAAGCACCCTAGTGGACCTTGGTCACTTTGCAGTCCCTGCTCGTTTCTCTATTCTGTCGGAACTGTGGGCATGTGTGCACGCACACACACTCCTGGTGTGCTTTTGAAGCCACGACTCAAACCGCACAGTGGGCCCCTATGGGATCTTAGTCATGGGCTGGCCTGAGATACCTTTTTTTTTTTTTTTTTTTTTTTTTGAGAGGTTTTTGCTATAGGGTGCGTGCGCTCGCCAGACAGACAGAGAGAGACAGAGAGATAGAAAGCAAGAAATCACCCCCCAGGGGGGATGGCCACACCACAATCCCTTCTCCTCCATTCTCCTCTCGGGATCTTGGGCATGCACGCATACACGCCCAGCGTGAGTTTTAAGCCACTGGGTCCGGGACTCGAACCACGGTCAGCTACATGGGAGTCCAGTGACATAGCCATTACGCTAACTGCTGGTCCCGAGATACCATTTTTTACGTTATGGTAAATGTCTAGTGTTTAAGGATAGAGGACTATCACTTAAGTTAGGGAACCTGATTTTTTCACTTAATATATGAAGCTCTTTCTATATCAATAACTAGCTCTTTTATTTATTTATTTTTAAGATTTTTGCCATAGGGTGCATGCATTCACCAGAGAGTGGGAGGGAAAATGAGAACTCATTCTCCAGGTGGATGGCCACATCACAATCCCTTCTCCATTCTCTTGAGATTTGAAGCACACACATGTGCATGTACACACACGCACACACACGTACACCTAGCATGATTTTCAGGCCACCGGATCTGGGACTCAAACTGTCAGGTCCGTCATGTGGGATCCAGCTCCTTAACCACCACTCCACCTGCTAGCCCTGGACCATTTTTTTACAGGTGTATGGTATTGATTTTAGATATTCTGTAATTTCTTTAAAATATTAATGGACTCTTATTTTCAGTAACATTTTGAGGTCATGTGTGCCTGTCTTTTTTGTTATTCTAATAGGTAAAATAATAGTGAATTGCATTTTTTTATTACTAGTGAGGTTACCCTTTTTCATATACATTTGTTGGTTATTTTTATCCTTCTCTTGTTCATTCAAAGCTTGTTTTTGAGTGGAGATAGTAATTCTTCTATATTGATTCTTAGAGCTCTTTATATATTAAAAATATAAGGTCTTTGTCAGATATTTTGTATATTTTCCCCAAATTTATGTATCCTTTTGACTTTTTGGTATATTTTACTAGAGAATAATTTTTAATTTTTATGTAGTTCCCCTTCTCATTCTGTCATGATTATTCTGTCTTCGATAGCATGCTAATTTAGAAAGGTCTCTCTCACCTCAGGATTATAACTGTATTACCCCACATGTTGCTAGTATTTGTGGGTTTATATTTTATATTTAAGCCTTAATTCACATAATTTAAGGTGTGAAGGGAGATTTAATCAGTTTTTTAAACAAATATTTAACCAGTTGTCTCAATATTGTTTAATGAATAATAATCATTTGCAAATAATGTTTTGGTATTTGCAACACAATACAGATTTCTTCATCTTTATTATTTTTTTAAAGCTATTCTATATCTTTCAAAGATTAATTCTAAAATTATTTTGCCACGTAAAAGAATATCCCATCAATTTTTATTGGAATGGAATTTACAGGTTATTTTACCTGGAAAGAATTGATGTTTCGCGCTACCCAGTGACGTGGTTTAAGTAGCTAGATCCCACATCGTTCTAATCCTGGCAGCTTGAAAAACATGCCTAGTGCATGAGTGTGCATGTCCAAAATCCTGAAATGAGGAAGAAATGGAGAAGTTACAGTGTGGCCATCCCCATGGGAGGTGCTTTCTTACTTTCTCTTTCTTTCACTTTCGCTCACGTGCTCTCTGCGCACGCGCTACTGCATGCACCCTCTGGCAAATTAAAAAAAAAAAAAAAAAAAGCTTTCATTTTTGACTTTTTCCATCTTGGATGAAGAAGCATATTTTTCCAAAGCAGTAAGCTTCAGATTGAATCAGTTTGTCTTTTAATGTGTAGGATCTGTGAGGCAAAGACAGAAATATTAGAACTGAAGTTTTAAACCAGCAGAGGGAGAGAAAGAATGTACTATGGAAGACAGGGAAAACGGCCTTCAGAAAATGATCAGGTTGTGTCAACCGATCTGTCATAGGCGTTCTCTTAACCAGCTCTCGAGCCAAGACCTCACCAAGCAGAATGTTCAGTTTCCCGGTGGCTCTCATTTTAAGAATCTCACTGTGTTGAGCCAAAGTGCATGACAACATGATTTTTGTCATTGCCTTCAGACTCCAGAAAGACAACTCAATTTACTTTCTCTAGCACACGGCCACCCGTGAGGTATTTAAAGACAGATAAAGATTCTTACCCTGACCAGACATCCCTCAAAAGCAGGCTAAAAAGTTCCTGGGAAAATGGAATTAAAGTACAAGTTGAAAAGTAAACGAAACTTGGACTGGGGTGATGTGCAGTGATAAAACCCAGCGCTCTGCAAGGCCGGCCACGCAGGTTTCCAGGTTTGCACCCAGAGCTCCACCTGAGAGTGCCAGGCACGTGTGTCCACGACTCAGGGTGGACCGTGGCATCAGGACCCTGCTAGGGTTTTCTGTTTCAGTCTGTCTCTCTTGTTCATGAGAAAAATAACCTATTTTTTAAAACTTGAAATTCGTCTACCATTTTTTCATAATAAATTATTTCCATGAACTTTTTGAATAACCCTCATAATATAATTCAAAATAGCAAATAGAAATAAAGAAGGTGGGAAAAGAAGCCAGGCATACAGAACAACAGAAAGTCAGACACTTTCTATAGAAACTGGATTCCTCCCACCCACCTATTCCCTTCTTGGGGCTAACTTTCCATTTTTCTCTTTTCCTTTTTTTTTTTTTTTAACAAGAATTCTTTGTTTGATTTTTAAAATTTATTTATTAAAATTTGCTATAGGGCACAGGCGCAAGACAGAGAGAGAGAGGGAGAGTGAGAAAGCAAGCTGCCAGGTCTGGGACTCAAACCACAGTTGGCCATGTGCCTTACCAGCATTCCACCTGTTGGCCCCTCTATCTTTTTTTGTAAATTCCTAAATATTTACCAGTAAATTGACAGGTATTTATAGGTTTATATTCTTTTCACCTTATAAGAGGAACAACATGAATTGAGAAGTATTAAATTAGAAAAATCAGGACCAGCAGGTGGCATGGCGGTTGGGGTGCTAGACTCCCACATGGCCAATTGCAGTTCAAGTCTCATACTTGGTGGCTTGCCTTCTCACTTTCTGTCTCTCTCTGTTTCTGTCTCTGGTGAATGTATGTGCCCTACAGCAAAATTGAAAAATAAAAATCAATTACTTTTAGAGACCTTAGTACTTCTGGAATATCATAGTTTGACTTACAGTTGAGAAAGCATCTACCAGACTCTCCAGAGCAAATAGGAAATAGGTGTGGAGATCATTCATGGTAAGGGCTGGAGAGTCCCCGCTCAGTTCCCTTCCACTGTCCTGTTGACTCACCTACCTTACGCTCATGGAAGAGGGTAGAGCTCAAGGTATTTTTCTCTAGGGGAAGGGGGAGGTGGAGAGATGGCCAAAGGAGAAAAAACACGTTTCAGGAGAGGTTCAAGAGGCCCCTGTACAGCATGATTACACTGTGGCTATAACACTATTATCTACTGGGAAAAGCCACTACAGTGGATTATAAGTGTCCTCATCACAGATAAATGAAAAGTACATAAGGGAATGCACAAGCTGATGAGCTGGCCTTAGGCATTCCACAATGTATACACATTTCAGAACATCACATTGTACCCCCGAAATGGGTACATTTTTGTCAAGTTAAAAAGTAAATACAGCTTTAAAACTGGGCAAAAACCTAATAAGATTACTTGTGTTGTATCACTATTAAATAAAATTTATAATTAGCCCAAAAGAAGAGTACTTGTCTCCGTTGCTCTATTCGAGGAAATACTGTATCGCTGGAACAGCCTTTCATGCTGAACTGATTTGGCACTCCTGTCTTACGTGCCTAGTATTCCCAATCATCTGGGTTTAATGCCAGCTCCGCCTCTTCCCTGCCGTCTCAAACGAGGATGACAACATACAATTGTAGTCTCTAGCAGGGCCCTAGGAAGGCCCACACATGCCCAGGAAATGCCAGCTGTTGTCCTTAATAGCAATAGTGTCATCATAAGAACTCATCTGACTTCTGAGAACACGTCCGAGCACTATGTTGCTTAGAAATCCTCTCGTCTGTGAGGAAGACATGGATGTGTTTTCTTGTTGACTGTCTCTGGAGTGGGCTGCCATTTTTGTATGGAAGTTCTATTTGAAGTTTTCTGTGCTCGGTTCCTTGATCCATCACCTCCCAGCGAGTGACCGTGTTTGCCTAACTGAAGTTAGGACTGTGCTGATTGACACACTTTGTTGCTCTGTTGTAGAAGCCGGCAGGAGCGACCCTCAGCGTGGAGGACCCGCCTCCTAGCACGCATCCTAGTCCCACCGACTGACTGCATCGCCGACAGCTCTGGCTTGAACTAAAGGACATTTTATTTTTTTAACTTTAGCACTATATAGTTTGTATATTTGAAAATAATGTACATTATTTTACCTACCAGATTCTGATTTGGTATACAAAGGGCTAAGATATTTTATGCTTAAAGAGATTTTTTGATCAGTCTTCATATATTTATCTACTAAAATAGAATGTTTATGATAAACTGTGTGTTGTTTCAGTTACAAGGACCATGACTAGGGAAACCATGCCGGTGTAAAGGACGATGGTGCTGTGCACACCACACCAGCTCCTGCACGACTGCAAAAACAGGATGAGTTCTGCTTTCAAGGTTTTTAGGATAGTCGAAGTAGACTTGAGTAATTAAATTCAACGATCACATAGACTTTCCCTGGAAGAAAGACCTTTTAAAACTGTCACTTTGTAAATGTGATGAGACATCTTCAGCTCTCTTGCACATCTATATTGTATATAGAGGTTTCAAAATCTGAGAACACTTTTCTGTCGTCATTTGGAATTATGAGAAAAGCACTAGATGACTTTCGGATTTGCACTTTTCCTTTTGTTACCTTTTTTCTTGTGACTCCTTCATGGAGAAATGTGTCCGTGTTTCCTACAAATAAAAAATCTTGAGATTGTGTATTACACATGAGCATTAATTTCTTCGTTGCCTTATGAAGGAAATGGAGTAGGTATACTTTAAAATAATGAATATATTCATTTAGTTCCAATTGCAGTCTAGCCTTTACACTTGAAAGGGCGATGCAGATTTTGACTTGTTGTTGGACAGAAATAAAGTAACCCGCGTTCCTGATCCGTTTTTAAGCAGACTTCATCCCGTGACCTTGCTTACCCTGTTTTATTCTTGGTTGTCGTTCTTGCTTATAGGTCAGGGAGCCTGCGCTGTGCATTTTGTGAGGGGACTAAATGCAGGCACCCTGCTCGCTCTCACTTGCTGGTGTTGGACATCAAAGAATATAGGTTTGTTTGTTTGTTTTTTAAAGTTTTGCTACAGGGTACATATGCTTACCAGAGAGAGAGAGATGGAGAAAAAGAGAGAAAGCACCCCACAGCGGGGATGACCACACCACCGTCCCTTCTCCTCCCTTCTCCTCTCGAGATTTTGGGCATGCTTGCACACATGTCTGGCGAGTTGTTTTTCAAGCCTCTGGGTCCAGGACTTAAACTGCATAGTCAGCCATGTGGGATCCAGCTGCCTGAACTACCATACCACCTCATTGGCCTGAGGACTTATTTTAAGAGTACAGAATTATAGTCCTGTTTGGTTTCTAAACTAGTTACTGTGAATATCTATTTTGTAGGCAAAAATTCATATTTATTGAGTAAAATATAATTTAAAAACTAAAAATAATGAATCCCTATAACTTACTCTCTCAAGTTATTTACCACACACATACTGATTCTAGCAGCTCAGTGAAATACTCAGTGAGTAGCTGCACGATCAGACTCTAGCCAGTGTCAATAAGAGGAGCTGTGGAAACAGGAAATTTGTCTGACTTCGAGTCTTTTTGTTTTAACAGACAGCGTCTGTTAACAGACCATAATGCCCATGGTCTCTGCAGTTCACCTTCTGTGGTTCAGTGTGAACAGGAAATATGTCCTTGATTCTATTCCAAGTAAGTTGCTTGCCCTTTGTCTTTTAAGGGACTTATTAGGGTAAAATAGTAGTTATTCTCTTAGCTAATGAAATCAGTGTTCAAGAATACTATGACAGATCAAGGTAAGTTGTTTTTTGTTTTGTTTTGTTTTGGGAGAGGTTTTTGCTATACGGTGTGTGCGCTGGCCAGACAGACAGAGACAGAAAGCGAGAAATCACCCCTTGGGGATTATGGCCACGTTGCAGTGCCTTCTCCTCCACTCTCCTCTCGGAATCTTGGGCACGCATGCACATGTGCCCGGCATGAATTTTAAGCCACTAGGTCTGGGACTCAAACTGCAGTTGACTACGTGGGAGTCCAGCAACATAGCCATTACGCTAACTGCTGGTCCCAAGGTAAGTTCTTTTTGATAATTACAGAAATGTGATTTCTTTATCTGCTATCAAATACATGTTGTCCTTTTTTTTTTAGATGGAGAAAGCACCACACCACAGTCTCTTCTCTATATCTCCATGCTGTGGGTACTTTGGGCACACAGATATGCACCCAGCATGTTTTTCAAGCTGCAGAGGCTGAGATTTGAACCACATGGTTGGCCATGTGGGATCCAGCTCATTAAACACTAGGACATGGCACTGGCTCCAAATAGGTTTTTCTTAATTCAAAAGTTTGAACACTAAATTATAAATAAAATAAGTTAGTAAATGAGTCTTAGCTCTAGAAACAGAAGGGTTTTTCTTGTTGGTTTTTTGGATTATTTTTTTTAAGAAAGATTTTTGCTATAGGGTGTGTGCACTCACCAGACAGACAGAGAGACAGAAGAGGAGAAATCACTCCCTGGGAGGATGGCCATGCCACAATCCCTTCTCCTCCATTCTCCTCTGAGGACTTTGGGCATGCCTGGCGTGAATTTTAAGCTGCCAGGTCCAGACTCAAACTGCAGTCAAATACATGAGAGTCCAGTGACATAATCATTATGACATCTGCTGGTCCCCAAAACATAAGTTTTTTTTTTTTTTTTTTTTGAGGGGTTTTTTGGCATGTGTGCTCGCCAGAAAGACAGAGACAGACAAGACAGAAAGCGAGAAATCACCCCCTAGGGGGGATGCCACGCCATAATCTCTTCTCTATTCTCCTCTCGGGATCTTGGGCACGCGCATACACGCACCCATTTGAGTTTTAAGCCACCAGGTCCGGGACTCGAACCGCGGTTGACTACATGGGAGTCCAGCAACATAGCCATTATGCTAACTGATGGTCCCAGAAGTTTTTGATACCAAATAGAAATTTAGAAAAAAGGAAGTCTTCAGTACTTTGAGTTTCCTTTGATAGATTTTTGAGATGTAAATAAGTACAATAAAGAATCAACAGAATTTTGCCAAAACTTTAAAGTTTGATAAGATAATGGGAATTGGGGGAATGTAGATGAGTATACTAAATCAGAGACTTCATTATAGTTTGGCTGTATTATTTGTGGCAGTAATTACTTTCTTAACAATTGGCATGAAAGCGTTAGTGCACATGTAATTTAAAACAGTATTCTTTTTTTTTAACATTGAAAACATAGGTGGCAGCATGAAAGAAGCTGAGTGTCCGTGACCATGCTGCCTGACCCTGCCTTCCTGTCTGGCTTCTTCACTTCTCAGTGTGCAGACTGATGGTCCAGGCTTCCCCGCGGAAAACCACCAAGGGCCAGAGAGGTGCAACAACGTGGCGCCATTTGGCAGGTAATAATTTCTCCCATGCTATCTTTTTAGGGACCTTGAACATACAGCCTTTCTTGGAAAATTGCTCCTTGGAGCTGCTGAGGAATGATGACAATAAAAGGCCGAATTGCAGTGTGTCCTATAGCAGTTTGCTCTCTCTGGGCACACGATGACAAAATCTCCTGAAGCGAATCTCTGGTCTGACCTCAGTAACGGGTTGGAAGTTCATGCCACAGGAAAGCTTTCCCAATGGGGCATTCCTACAGCTGCACTATTTCTTTTTAAGCTTTTTTTCCATAGGGCACATGCACTTGCTGGAGAGAGACAGTAAAGGAAAGTGAGAAATCCCACCCACCTCGTGGGCATGGCCACTTCTCCCTTCTCCATTGTCCTCTCAGGACTTTGTGCACATATACACATGTCCCTGGTGTGGTTCTCAAGCTACTGGGTCAGGGACCAGAACTGCATTTGCCCCTGTGGACGTCCAGTGCTTTTAACCACCACACTACTTGCAGTCCTCAGCAGCATTCTTTGTGAGAAAAAATACTCAGTGATCCTCAGACAACGGTGGGGCTTAAGTGGATAGTAAATAACTGTGTACCGTAAGGTAAACTTAGCAGATCAAGAACTGCTAGTCATACAGAAAATAATAGACCTTCAGGGACAGGTGTGTGCCCATTAGATGAAATAACCAGTGTAACCAAGTTCCCAGTAAGATAGCCTCGTTGGCAAGTCTCTTTTGAGCACATTATTTCCTCAATGAAGACCGAAACCCACGTGGATTAACTAGAACTTGGAGTGAGTATCTAGTCTAAAGCGTTTTCTGTGGGTTCGGTGATTTACTGAAGCACAGGATGTTGGCTTGAACCAAAGCTAGTTTTACAAGGTGCTGCTGTGACTCAGCATGTGTGCAAAGCCATCTACACTTTTTCCAGCTAGTTTATTTTCCAAAGATTTACAAGTATCTGTCAGCATTTCATTTTCAAAAATAGTAGTATTTGGATGACTGGTTACAAAAGTAAGATTTCTACAATGTCATAATCAGCCATGCAACTAGAGATTTGCCCTCTTTAAAACTAGAGCAAAGCATAAATTGTGAATTGAAAGGGTATTTGCATTCCTTTCATTTAGAGTTCATTCCTTTCAGTTGTAGGCTTGGTGATGGGCTGATGGGAAACTTGGGCCCGGCAGTACTTCCTGTGAACTGACTCTAGTTGTCAAATCCTTGTGTCTTAGGGATCTTCCTAAGAACAGCAGTGACTGCATAAAAAGACCAGATGTCAAATGCAATCAGTAAAATGTCTTAGTAGATTCTAGAATTTTAACAATTATGTAATAAAGTTCTTCCTATATATTAATTTCCCAGATACCCTAAGAATGTTATAGGGACATCAAAATACCATTTAAAGTAGACATGTCTCACCATCATCTTCTGTGGGAATGTGAATCCATGTGTATAAAAGTGTGCTACTTAAAATTAGGTATAAATGTTTATGAACTTTTTTTTGTTTTGAGAGATTGTTGGTATAGAGTGCATATACTCGCCAGAGACAGCAAGAAATCACCCCCTAGGTGGGTATGGCCATGCCATAATCCCATCTCCCCTCCGATTTTGGGCATGCACGCACACATCTGGCTGAGTTTCAAGTGCTGGGTCCAGGACTCAAACTGTATTCCGAGACGTGGGAGTCTGGCATCTTAACCACTATGCCACATGCTGGCCTGTTAGTGTACTGTTAAAGAATAAAAAATGAGTAATGCTATTTCTATAAAGATATTTAAGAGTAATAAACATGTAAAAAGTATTTGAATAGCATATTTTAGGTTCCCAAACTTTTTTTTTTTTCTTTTTGGACAGGTGATTTGAAGATATATCAAAGCTAGAAACTGGATCTAGGAATTCAAGGTGCTTTAACATGACAGTTAAATTGAACTCTGTTGATGATACTTCAAAGTTGATTGTAGTTTTCTTTTACTTTTGGTAAACCTACTTTTAAACATGCTTCGGCAAGAACCTTTCATTGGTGTTGTATATGTAAATCTTGACTGTTTTATTTTGTATGAAATTGTTCTCTAAACAGAAGTACTCTTTGTAAGCTATTTAAAATCAATTTGAAAATCTTCCCTCTTTCAAGTAAACACCAGTACTTGTGGATGATGAGAGTACGTGGTTCGGAATTAACATACTGAAACTTGTAACCCACAAACCATCAAGTGCAGCACTTCTGCAGTCATTTCCAGACATCGCAGAAGTGAAGTCTGAGTTGCTGTATGCACCTATCCCCAACTGAGGTTACAGGTGGGGACATTCTGCCTTGTTTCAGCTCTCACTGCAAACAAGTGTCTTTTTCACAGTGTGTTTAGTGCCATGTTTTGTATTTGCATATTTTTTTGTTGGCAAAGTGGTTTGAAATGGCCCACAGGTGTCATGAAGAGCCATCTGCTGTTCTGAGCTCAACAAGGTTGTGCTGTGCCTTAGACAAAACGTGTGTCAGATAATTGTCATTCAGCATGAGTTGTTATGCCAGCAAATAGTGGGTCCCAGTCATTTACCATGGAGCAAACTTCTTTAACCAATGCTAACATGTCAAACAGTGATGCCACTTTTAGGCACTGAGAAATCAGTCTTGCTGCAATCATTTTAGCTGTCTGAAGACAGTCCCCCATTCTCTAGGTGTTAAGCCATTATCTCCTCTATATGAAACATGCTGATTTTTGCAAACCCTTAGTTTAATAAGAGCAGCTAAAGCACACAGTGTTACAAATCTAGGAGTACTGCGTTACAAGGTTGGTACTTGTATTCATTTTTAAATCACTAGGTTTGGTTTAACTTTTGCTAGGCATTAGACTGGAGGGTAATTCATGTTGAACAAGACTATTTCCTTATAAACATGCTTTGGAAGTGCCTCAGTAAAAGGATTTTTCATGATTTCTTCAAGTAAAAGATACATCAGATAATGGAGTTGGTAAGAAAACTTTAATAGGAGGCACTGTTGTCCAAAATAACATGGGAGGTGAGAGCCCACTCAGCCACCCTGCTCGCCTGCTTCTCAAAAGCACATCTACCCTCCACAGATGGGAAGTGGAGACCCCTCAGCAGGCACTGTACAGGCCAGTTCCCAGTGGTGACACAGCCTCCCAAAGCACTGACTGATAAAAGCTGTCTCAGACCAAGAACAGAAGACCATCTCAAGAAAAAAAAGAGGTGATGATCCCAGCCATCACAGCCCCAAAAAAGGTTTCTAAGAGTTCTCATGTTTATAAGCGGCCCCAAAATGTATGTATTCTGTTGTCTGTGAAGTCCCCACCCCAAGGATAAAGTTGCTTTACAAGCTCGTCCCTGATTCAGACTGCGCTTAAGGAGAGCTACACACAGAAGCACACTGGTTACCACTTGATCACCACCAGCAGCTGCTTTCACCTCAAGGGCAGTATCACAAAGTCTCAAGAATGTTTTCATTTGCTCTCATTAAATACTTTGAATGTTGCAACCTTCAGAAAACTAGATTCCCAACTTTTCAGAAGTTCTAGTAGTTCATCCTTTAGCAAAACCAGGCACTGTGTTCTGCAGTGCTGAGAAACCTCGTCTTATTTTTTGCGGTCACTTTTCGGGGTAACCGTTTCTCACCAGGAAGACAAATTTTTTTCAAGTTCTTACCCAAATTCAGCTAAAGGAAAAGGTCATCCAAGAAAGCAAAACTGCTTTAAGTAGATACAAAATATTGTTTATATGCATTAGACCAAGCAATCCACTCAGGATTTTAACAGTTTGAAGAATTAAATCACAGTACAGCTGACAATGGGTAGCTCTGATGTGTTATTTGGACATTTTGGTCTCAGAAGGTGTCTCCCCAGTATCCAATGTCTTCAATAACCGGAAAAGGCCAGCAGCTTCTCGTATCCTACTGAATTCAATACAGAAAGCCTGCACTTCTATAAACAAGTCCTGTACGTTAATAATTTTGTTACGTATCAAGGATTGGAGAAAGACACACACAAGACGTACCAAGCGATTCTAAAAAAAAGAGAGAAAATACATTTTAGTATACCCATCTTCCTGGAAAGTATTTATAAAATTTACAAAAATTTCTGTTACGCACCTGCATATATTTATCCTTAATTTGTTCACAAGTAGAGATACAGTTTGAGATATAAAGGTGAATAAATTCAGGAGGTAGATCAACAGCTGTTGTTAGTCTATTTAAAAAAAGAAAGAAATTTGGGCTGTCAATTTTATTTGTTAATGTTACAATAGTTCACCATAAAGTCTAAAATGTCCTTTGATCTTTTGGTGAAAATTTTTGATATGTGACCCTAGTTTAAAGTATATTTTAAATATACAGATAAAATGGAGATCCATACCCCCCTCTCCTTGAGTGACTCTCACTTTTCCTGTCTGTACTTAGCCTTACACATTGAAATTACTCACAAAGCAAATGTTTCCGTTTTAAGCACTATGTCCCCAAGTGTTCTTGGCTATCATGGTTTAATATCTTTCAAGTTGCAATAACCTTGGCAATTATTGGGTAGTCAGAAAAGTCATAATGGGGACCAGCAGGTGGCGTGGTGGTTAAGGTGCTAGACACTCGCACATTGGCAACCATGGTTCAAGTCCTGGACCTGGTGGCTTGCCTTCTCATTTTCACACACACACACACACACACACCCCGTATGTGTCTCTCTGGTCAAATTAAAATAAATGAATAAATTAAATTTTTTTAAAAAGTCATAATGTCTTTTTCTGTTTTCTATACAAAAATATGTCATGACTTTTCTGATGACTCAAATACTCACTTTTTTAATAACTTACTAAATCTCTATAATGTATGGGGGGGTAGGTCTTCAAAAAGTTCTTGGAAAATGCACATTATAGAAAAACTGCACATGGCTTTCAATTTTTTTTTGTACCAAAATGAACATTTTAATTCCATTTTCATGACCTTGTGTAACTCCATGAGAGGCAGAAAGAGGTATGCAAACAGTACAACAGATAGCCAAGAATAATATGAGAAGACTTGGAGGAAAGCCTTCAAGAGCAAGTGACTTAAACTGAACCTAAGAAGTGTTCCTGTCCTCCATTCTCCTCTCAGGATCTTGGGCACACACACACACGCACCCAGCGTTGAGTTTTAAGCCACTGGGTCCGGGACGCGAACCGCGGTCGACTACGTGGGAGTCCAGCAACATAGCCATTACACTAACTGCTGGTCCCCCTGTTAACTGGGTAAACTGCATAAAGACTTGGAACCAGGCAAGGTACAGGCAAGGTACATGCCAGCACACAATGGGAAAGACCTGGCTGGGATGTAACGAGCCGTGTGATGGTGACTCAGGGTCGGATTTGAGTTTTGAAGGTCAAGACTGGTTTTCCAAAGGGTTCCATGGAATGCTGGGGTGGGGGAAGTAGAGGGGAAGTGGGAATTCCATGCTGACTGCTGAGGTAGTCTGGGAAATGCTGAGTCTCATTAAACAGGGTTTGCTGTTGAAAAGCATTTGCCACTATGCTAAAGTGTACATTCCCCAAAGCAGACTCTAAACCTCTTCTATACTTAGTGACCTTGAAACACTCTCCCATAAGACACACAGAAACTAGTGCTCCAAGAAAGGGCTGCTGCAGTCACTCGAGATCTGTGTGTCAGCAGTAAGTCTGTTTCACACTCGGGGACAATGCACTGTGGTGAACCGGGAGAGACAACACGGCCTTGTCCTCGAAGGTCCACCATACGGATAAGTGATGCACAAACATCTGGAAAGACAGTAACTGCTACGAGAGCACAGGCAGGGGTTAGAGGTAAGCATTCCGAACTTGCTCAATCCCTAGGACTTGAATAGAATTCAGCCACTGAAGGAGTGAGTGAGTCTGGATGAAAGAGGGAGGAAAGGCAGAAATGAGGCAGCATGTTTTCGATAAGCAGCTAGCCAGTTTTGCCAGTGCAAGCAGAAACATTAAAAATTAATTAAAAAACCTGTTGCCCCCTCCCTCTCTTACCCTCGGAAAACCACACGGGTACACATTTGTAGCCATTCAGCTTCCACCCAGGCTACTTTTCACCAGCCAACTGACAACACATTCTTCAGCTCAGTTTTCAAGTAGGTTTAAAAAAAAAAAATCCCTAACCTACAACAATGTGGTGGTGGTTAACTGCCTGGTACTCAAGAGATTTTGCCACAGACTAGAAGGATCATATAATTTACCCCAAACAGGCCACCACATGAAAGGCAGTTCAGGATACAAGCCTCAATCCGAACTGCCAGGCGAACCTGGACCCAAGGCCACCTACATGTAAACACCATAAAAATAAGACAGATGGCTCTCAAGCCAACCCCCTCAGGCCTTGTAATTTATCTAATATATTTGTAAGAGGGCGGAGGAGGTGCAGTGGTAAGGCTGAACCACATGAGAAGTTTCCAGGTTTACACCAGAGAGCTCTGCGTACACCAGGCACACACATGCTCATGGTCCAGGGCTGGCTTGGCGTGGCTGTGGTGTCAAGACCCCGTTGGGTGTACTGTATCATGCCTCCCTCCTACCCTGCCCCATCTCGTGCATGGGTGAAATTAAGCCCCGTGTAAGGAAAGTAATACACGAGAGTGCTGTACAGAGCACATACAGAAGGGGGCGCTGCGCCACTTCCCTGACAGGGACAGCGGACTAAGGTGGCTCGGACTGAAAGGTCACGAAGACTGCATGGCTCCACAATGGCATTCCAGGATCTCTCAGCTCTCAAGACCCACACTTTTCCATACTGTGCTGGCAGTCATTAGGAAAAAACAGCTAGTATATTACCTATTTTGTATGAGGTAAAGAAGATACAACTATGCAGAGGGAAATAAATGTCATTTATGCTAGATATGTTCAAAATGCTGTCCTCTGAGTTCTTACTCAGGGATGCTAAGCTCACATGCAGTGAACACTGCTGGCCCAGATCATTTCGTTAATGGGTTATCTTAGGCTACCGATATCAGAACAGGTGTTCAGTTTGTCCCTTACAGCCATTTAGTCAGGATCTGTTGTAGATTCTCCACACATCTGATCAAAGAGGGAACTTACCGATTCACAACTTCCATCGAATGTAAGGACATGTCCATGTTGACCAGGACAGAGAAATACTCCGTGATCTGACTTGACTGCATTAACTTCAGCAACATCTCTATGGCCACTAGAGGGTTGTTTTCCACCAGGTCAGGAAGCTTGGCTGGAGTGAGGCCAATATGGTAGACAAGTTTGGGATCTTTCTCCAACTCTCCAAGGAGCTAATAAGCAACCACCAAATATTTAGAGAGAAAGGTTCTTGAATCAAATTAGAAAAAAATTTCCATATTTAGAAAAACAAGTATTTTACATATAAAGCTATAAAATTTATCTGTACTAATTGCATAAATTTCTTCCCTCGAATCCATAATCACCATGTTTTCAAATTTACATTTAAAGTGTGAAGATATTTAAACACATTCACGATCTTTTATAGACATGCTAGTGATTCCTCTTCCTGGACCTGCAACAAGACTCCATATTATATGTATGGCTGGGTACAATAATGTCTGGTGGTAACAATGTCATCACCCTCAGTCCTTTGTAGAATTTTTCTTTCATTTATTAATAACCAACACTAGCCTAAATCACCATCTAGTCCCCAAAGCACAAATCACAGAGAATCAAGGAACATCAGAAAAAGCCTCCCTCCTCACTCCCCCATCAGGACAGGGACAGTGGCCACTCGGGTCACCAGCAAGTAGGGTCAAGTCACACCCACACTTTACAATTCAAGTAACTGTATCTTCAAAAACAATGTTTTTGTCCTGCCAAGTAAGTACTTTTTCTGTTTCTGTGCCCTTTTCCTTATCTACTTCATGCCACAGTGGACTGTTTCAGGACGGTCCACTGAGTAAAATGAACTACAACCACAACGGTATTTTGGGTGAACTAAATTGGTAATGTCAATCGATTCTGAGAAATTCTAACTTGAAAGTACCCAAACTGAATAAAATTCAACAATCAGAAACCTGCTATGAGGGTCTCGTTGCTTTTTCCTAAGGGAAGTCATGCAGTCATACACCTGGAAGCATCAGGAGCCATTTTTAATCTTGAATCCACCAGGGACCAGCTGTGTAATGGCTGGTTCCCCTTCCCTGGGCCTCACTTTCCCCTTCTATAAAACATGGAGGATTCCACTTTCCTCAGAAGAGCTGTTGCCCAGCCACAATCTAACAATGCACATGAAGGGCCTGGAGGGCATATGGCGGGAGCCTGGTTCTGATCTCCCTCTCCTAGGGGCAGAGTGGCCAATGAAAGCTAGACCCCTTTGTCAGCAGACCCTGCCCCACCAGAGCAAAATTTCCCAGAGTAAAGGCAGCACACTGCGGGGACCCGGAGACCTTGGGATCTTCTTACTGCTGGCTCATACTAGAATAGGGCTCATGATCACTTTATGAAGAACCAGAATAAACTCTGGGTAGATTAAAGATAAGAAAATGTTTCCAAGTACATGCCTGTGTTTGCTGGGGAGAAGATAAGGGGCTTTTAAAGGCTTTGGCCATTATTCGCTTGATCTCCACACCTGTGCTGTTCTTAACGCACATTGATTTATCCCATTGGATCGTGTGATCAGGCTCCGTGGGATTTAGCCATGCCAATTCGTCCTCACAGATGTGGAGTGGAGGTGGTGGACGAATAAACTCTGGCCGAAAATGGCCTGTAAAGAAAGCAGTAAGATTTGACTGTTTCTCAGAACGCTAACATCAGTACACATAACACACACAGTCCACTTCATTAAGTCGCAAACGCCTCTTTAATAAGGACTACCTGAAGAAACAGGAACAATAGCGAAAGTCAGGGTTTCACACACTACAAAGTGAAGGAGGAAAAAGCAACACAAAAAAAGCACAATGTAACAGCAGGTACCAGAGGAAAGAATGACTGTGAGCTGACCACTCTGAATTCAAGCATGACTACCACCCATAGCAACCAGACCCTATCAGCAGACCCGGACGCACTCCTTGCCCTCCTCACCCCATGCTTAGTTACCACCACTTTGTTCAGAGACCACTGTGGGTTGTACTAGTTTTATCTTTGCAGCTTATGACTTTCAAGTGCCAAATTACATGGAGATGAAATGGCAAAGGGAGAAAAAGTATAGTTAACGTTAGACGTTTCCGACTGTATCGGCGAGACTTGTGTAAATCCATCAACTCTCTAATACCACATTCATTTCCATAAAAGTACAAGAGGAAAGTGAAGTGACTCAACGCTTAGCTGTTTCATAAAACCACACTGACCCCTAAGGGACAAGCCTACTAAAATAAACACAGGCTAGGACTTCCACTCAGCCACCCTCCCACCTTACTTGGGTTCCCAAATAGGGCAGACGGTGGTTTATTACTATCCTGGACTAGCTTATTGGATCCTCTATTTCCTGGCTAAAGATCATTACTGTATCTTAAACATCTTCACTGTCTTTACACAGGACTAGCATCTTAATTGCTCTTTAAACCACCTAGAAAAATAAAGCTTTTCCCACTTTATGAGAAATACTACATATGTGATAAAGTGCCTATGAGGTGGGGAGGCATAGCGTTTCCTAGACTCACTTATTAAACGTGATGTGCTTCTCATACACCCTCCTAGTGGCCCATGCAACTCAAAGTCCTGCCTCAGACAGTATTATAGAAACCATTACATTCTGTGGACGTGGAGACACACTTGTGAGTAGCTGAAACTTCAAATAGTAAACCCATTTATGCCAAAAAATCTACTATAAATCCAATGGTATAAAAAGTATGTGGGCCAGCCTGTGGTTTGGTGGTTTAAAATGGCCACATCCCACCTGGCTGACTGTACAGAGTGCATCTTGGACTGATGGCTTGAGAAGCACATCAGACATATGTTCATGTGTGCCCAAAATCCCAAAAGAAGAGAGAGAGATGCAAGAGAAGGGACTGTTCTATGGCCATGGCCCATGGGGGTAGGGAGTGCTTTTCTATCTCTCTGGCAAATAAAGTCACCATGTAAGCTGCAAACTCCTCATATTATTGGATCGTTGGAAAAGTCATGATGCATTTTTTTTTCTTTGCTAAAGACCCAATTTAGAGAACAAGTTATCCCTAAACAAAAAACATGCTTTGGGACCAGCAGTTAGTGTAATGGCTATGTTACTGAACTCCCATGTAGTTGACCGCAGTTCGAGTCCTGGACCCGGTAGCTTAAAACTCACGCTGGGCGCTTTCTGTCTCTGTCTGTCTCTCTCTTTCTGGCGAGCACACGCGCCCTAGAGCAAAAAAAAAAGAAAAAAGAAAAAGAAAACACCTCTACAAAAAGCATGCTTTCACTACTAAAACCACAGAGCCTAAAATAACTATATTATTTCAAATTTAATAGGTTTTTTTTTTTTTAGAGGTTTTTGCTATAGGGAGTGTGCGCTCGTCAGACAGACAGAGACAGAGAGACAGAAAGCAAGAAATCACCCCCCAGGGGGGATGGCCATGCCGCAATCCTTTCTCATCCATTCTCCTCTCGGGATCCTGGGCACACACGCACATGCACCCGGTGTGAGTTTTAAGCCACCGGGTTCGGGACACGAACCTCAGTCGACTACATGGGAGTCTAGCGACATAGCCATTACGCTAACTGCTGGTCCCTAGGATTTTTTTTTTAAATGAAAGTAAATGAGAGATGTAAGGGTCCAGCCATAATGGCACATGCTGAATGCTGCTGCTCAGCAGGCTGAGGCCACATGGGAGCCCAGGTTCGGTTCCCAATCCTCAAAAGCTGGGCATGGGGGACCAGCAGATGATGAGGCAGTTTTGTCACTGGGCTCCCACATGGCCAACCACAGTTCGAATCCTGGATCCCATGGCTTCAAACTCACACTGAACTTATGTGCTTGTGTGCCAAAGATCCCAGGAGGAAAACAGATGAGTAGGGTCTATGGTATGGCCATGCGGGGGGGGGGTGACTTCTCACTTTCTATCTCTCTGTCTATCCAGTGAGTGCATGATGTGCCCTATAGCAAAAATCTCTCCAAGGGGAAAAAAACAAAAAAAAAAGGGCAGGGCATGGTAGCATGTACTTGTGGTCCCAGCTGCTCAGGAGGCTGCAAAACTTCGTCAAACACCACATACATTCACGTATGAGCACAAATACACCACACACAAACTCACACGAAGATCTAAGATCAGGAAAACTTTAAAATGGAGAATGAAAATGGTAAGATTACAAGAGAGGTATAAAATAAAATAGCAGTAGAGTCTACAAAAATAGACTCATTTCAGTAAAATCAAAATTTTATCTTCAGGTATGCTTATGATAGCTACGTAATAAACAACTAGGTATATAATTTTTTTTAAAAAAACTAATTTTCACTGAGTATCTCTACTAGATTCTAGACACTATAGTACAAAGTTTCACATTCAATTCAAGTACCAGTGAAAATAAGATTTCTCAAAAACAGACATTCCAGGAGATGCTGACAAACTAAAACCAAAAGTATAAAATTTATATATATACCTACTTTCAATAGGTGGCTTTGGTCCACTGACTAGAGCTTCTGTGATCTGAGAAGCAACAGAGCTATCAAATCCAGAATTGGAGGAATCGGGGTCTGGGTCACTGAGAATGCTGGGGAAGCTGGCTTTACTTTGGGTTGGCAGTTCAGACTGACGTTCTGAAAAGAGATACGAGACATTTTTAAAACTGAGGGCACCATAAGGAGAGTGAACAGACAAGCTCCTACCTGGGAAAAACTGCAACACACACACGTACACAGAGCCAGATTCAGCATATGTATGCAAGTTTCAAACTCTTACAAATCAATTAAGAGAAAATCCAATAGAGGGAAAAAATGAACTAATGACGTTAAAAGGCATTTTACAAAAAGTCCAGTGTCACAGAGGTGGGAACTGGAGCTGGATAGAGTCAAAGAGGATTGATACTTTTTCCATTAGTAACCGGGTAAAATGCAGTTAAAACACAAGATACTATTACACACCCACCTGATGGGCAAAAATTAACCAACAAAACCAGAGCACATAAGGTCCTCACGCACTGCTGCTAGGGAAATAGCTAAGCAACTTTGGAAAATAGTACCCAGTAAAGCTTTGCAGCTGTATCTCTTCCCACTCAAGACACTCTCACACGTGTCCCAGAAGAATGTACGTGGACGTTTATGGTGGCAGTATGTCCATCAGCAGCACTGAAGATAAAGAACTTGAGATTCTACCGCATGAACGGGACATGACAGCAATGAGAGCAGTCACTGTGGTTATTAATACATGCCATCAACAGATTCTCTCAAATAACATCCAAGGGAGATTGCAGAACAATACGGTCCGACCCCATATATGCACTGCTCAAGGGCAGCAAAACTGTAGGCAGGTACAGGAGGCAAGGCCATAAAGCACACTGAAAAAGCTTATCACGAAAGTCAGGTGAGTGGGGTCAGCAGGAGACATAATGGTTAAAGTCCTGACTCCCACATGGCCAACCATGGTCTGAGTCCTGGACCTGGCAGCCTGAAACTCACGCCAGGGAAATGTGCGTACATACCCAAATCCTGAGAGAATGGTGGAGAAGGGATTGTGGCATGGCCACCCCCCCGGGGGATGATTCTCACTTTCTCTCTTTCTGCTGCCTCTCCAGCGAGCACATGTGCCCTATAGCAAAAATCTCTCAAAAGAAAAACAAAACAAAAAAAAGGTCAGGCAAGTGACACCAGAAACGTGAGTAGGAGCAGCAACAGGAAAAGACATGCAGGGAGCCACTAGGCCCTGAAAATATTTGTTTTCTTAACCTGGATGGCCGATGCAAAATATTCATTCTATTATATAATTTTTTAAATGTAAATGTAATGCTTTATGAATTGCCATATTTCAGATCTTGTCATTTTTTAAAAAACAGCTAAACTCCTGATTCAAAGAACTATAAAAGTCAATAAAAGATCATCAACCCAGTGGGAAAAAAGCCCAGGGTCATGAAAAGATACCTTTGACATACGACAAGAGGTTCAGCCTTATTCAATGAATACCAAGATGTTATTAACTACAATAAAATCTAACCTGCGATGCCCTTTTTCATCTCAGATTTTACTGAAATACAAAAAGATAACATATCATTGACCAAGACATAGGAAAAAAATTTAATTGGCAAATTGTGTAAAATAATTAGCAGGTGTCTGTCATAAATATTTAATAAAAAAAATTCTGGGGACCAGCAGTTGGCGTAATGACTATGTCAGTGGACTCCCATGTAGTCGACCGCGGCTTGAATTCACTCCAGGCACGTGTGCGTGTATGCGTGCGTGTGTGTATGCGTGCGTGCCCAAGATCCCAAGAGGAGAATGGAGGAGAATGGATTGCAGCATGACCGTCCCCCCTGGGGGGTGATTTCTTGCTTTCTATCTCTCTGTTTCTCTCTGTCTGGCAAGCGCACGTGCCCTATAGCAAAAACCTCTCCAAAAAAAAAATCTGAAAGGAACACTGCTGCTATTGACGGGGTTCAACTCCGCCCCTTGAAGTTATTATTGTCTGTTTCTTTAAAGCTGAGAAAATAGGACCTGCATCATCCCTAAGTGTATACAGCGTTGAGTCCACAAATGTCCCTGTAAGACGTGGATCTCAGGCCTCTGTGGCAGAGGTGTGGGTTCTGCCCTGGTTTTGGGCACTGTGAGAACGAATGCTCAGGACAGCTTCGGTCTCTGCCACCTCTGGGTCTGCTGGTACACTCCTTTCTGTGCTTGACACACCTTTCACAGGCTGACTCACGTCACGAGTTGGAAGGGAGCTCACACCTGACTCACTGTATTCATTACAGTGAGAAACTTGAGCCACCAGAATATACATCACCTCTGAAGACACCTAATGTGATTGAAATTGCCTATCACTTCTGTATCCAGTTTTCAAACTATCTTTAGGAAAACAATCATTTTACTTCTGTTCTTAGATCTATCTGCCACTAGTGGCTAATAAGTACTTCTGTGTACCTTCAACCTTCAGTGTTAAAAAGATTTCTTGGGGCTTCAGAAAATAACCACTGTTATAGTGTATTTTTTTAAATTATTTATTATTATTATTTAATTTGCTATAGGGCACATATGTTCACCAGAAAGAAAGAGGGAAAGCAAGCTGCCAGGTCCAGGACTCAAACTGCAGTCAGCCACGTGGGAGTCTAGTGCCTGTTATATTGTTAAACTCAATAGTTAAAAAGTGAGATTCAGGAGCCAGACTGTGGCCTAGTGGTTAAGGGAGCTGGATCCCATATGGCCAGCTACATCGTTTAAATCCTAAACCAGTGACTTGCAAAACATGCCAAGTACGTGTATACATGTGTTCAAAATTCCAACAGGAGGAAAAAAATGAAGGAGACAGGATTGTGGCATGACCATGCCCCATGAGAGGCAATTTCTCCCCCGTCCCACAGGTGCGAGTACTCTCTGGTAAATTTAAAAAAAAAAAGTGAGGGACTAGCAGTTAGTGTAATGGCTATGTCGCTGGACTCCCACGAAGTTGACCACGGTTCAAGTCCCGGACCTGGTGGCGTAAAACACGCCAGGCACGTGTGCGTGCGTGCCCAAGATCCCGAGAGGAGAATGGAGGAGAAGGGACTGTGGCATGGTCATCCCCCCTGGGGGGTGATTTTTTGCTTTCTGTCTGTCTCTGTCTGCCTGTCAGATGAGCGCACGCACCCTATAGCAAAAACCTCTCCAAAAAAAAAAAAAAATGAGATTCAGAATATTCCAAAAAACAGAAAGTTTATCAAAACATTTCACCTTCCAGCGAAAGCCAAATCTCACAGGTATAAGTCTAAGGTGAGGCATCATCAATACACTGCAGAACCAGCAAATGGCTGGGGGTTAAGGCAGTGGCCCTCACATGGCCAACTGCGCCACTGGAGTCCCAAACTTGGTAGTTTGAAAAACATGCTGGAAGGGGCCAACAGATGGGGTAGTTGTTATGTCACCAGACTCTCACATGGCCGACCACAGTTCCAGTCCCAGACCCAGTGGTTTGAAAAATCACACTGGGTGTCGTGTGCATGTGTGCCCAAGATCATGGGAGAAGAGACTTTTGACTTTCCTTCTCACATCTCTCTCTAGCAAGCACATGCACTTTATTGCAAAAATATTTGTTAAAAAAAGAAAAAGATCTAGTATTGAAACTACCTTTTTTGTAGAAGACACGGAACTTTTAACACACAACCTCATTCTAAGTAGAATACCTCCAGGAAAGAGGCCTGATGCTACCACCAAAAAATGCCCAACCACGGACTCCTCCTTACCGGCCAAGGCTAACTGGAGCCCACTAATGTCCACAGACTGGCCCATGTTCCCAACGTCCATGAGTGCAATCTGGCGAGGCGTCTTTTTGAAGAGTTCTCTTGGGGGTGCCAGCATTAGCTGGGAAAGGAAAAACTTTTCTGGTGGCGTTATAGGGGGTAAAAATCCTGTAAACAAAAATGTATAACGATTTCTCTAAGTGTTACTTTTACAAATTAACTTCAATTTGGTATAAATTAGCATTTGCTACTTGCCCCTTTGACCTACATATTTTTAAAGACAAGTTCCAGTTAACTAAGTACACATATAGAAATAGATATAGATATATATGCACTATGTAATTTAATATCTGACCTGAATTTCTATGATCTATGGCACTGTCAATGAGACTTCAGGTTTTGAAACTATTAAGATCTTAATTTTCGGAAGTGCCTCAATATCTGTAAGGGCTGAGGCCTATGTAGGCAAAAACAGATAGTGAAAACCACAGAGTTCAGAAATGCTTTTCTTTATTCTCTGCCAGTAACTGCTGGGAAAGTTGAGTAGAAGGCTGCCCTTAAATAAAGGTGTTTTAGGTCCAGAAAGGTGGTCAGACAGGAACTAGCCTTCTGTATGTGTTGGGGAGGGGATCAAATCTCTGGTATTAAGCCCCAAATCTGCTTTCTCCTTGATTTACTACAGCAGTATGCCCTGTTCTCCCACTGGGTAAGGGCTGTAAGATCACTGGTCCTTCCAGATCCCAGTATCACTACTCATCCTCTAGGGGCCTTCCTCTTCCAGGTAGGGCTCATTCCCTAGAGTAAATCTCCTAAAGCGTATGCTGCCTGAGCTTAAAAAGAAATGCAGTCTTGTATCTTCCCCACTGCTTCAAGTTCACCAAGGTTGAACAAGTGCATTATAAATAATATCCAGTGGTGGGACCAGTAGATAGCATGGATACATCGCTAGACTTTCACACAGTTATTGGCGGTTCAAGTCCCAGATCCAGTAGCTTAAAACTCATGCAGAGCAGGTGTGTGTGTGCATGTGTGTGTGTATGCATGCGTGCCCAAAATCCCAAAATCCGGGGAGAGGCCATCCCCGCTGGGGGTGATCTCTTGCTTTCTGTCTCTCTCTGTCTTTTCAGTGAGCACACATGCCCTAGAGCAAAAACCTCTCTTAAAAAAAAAAGAAATGAAAATATATATATATATATATATATCCAGTATAGTCCTACCTTTTCTACTCCAGACGTGAATCCAAGACTACCTTCCATCCTTTACCCCCATCACATGATCAAGGATTGCAGCTGCTAAGTCCCTTAAGTACTTTAATGTCTACTTCTCTACTACAACTTCCTTACGTTCTAAATTTTGACCTGCATTTACTGTCTCAGACTGAAACCGGATGCAGATCCAGGGTGTCATTACTTGTAACTTCACGCACCTGGGGACGGGGGGGCCATAAAAAGCTGAACATTACTTGAGACACTAAAAATGCCAATCCCTACACTGCACTGTAAAGTTTGATGGCTACAGGTAAGAAAAGTCACTTCTGGGGCCACGAGTTTTAATTAAGCTACCACCTCTGCATATTTTAGTTTTGTGGGGACGAGGGAAGGGATGATCATCTCAACAAGAGACTCCTGTGCCTCGCGGGAGAGCGCCCAAGGCGCGCAGTGGAAGCTGGCGACCCTAACTACCCGCGCTGCTCGCAGTCCCGGGGTACCTGAGAGCGGGGGCCGGTCGGGCTCCTGGCCGCCGCGGGCAGGCGGCGCGGGGTTGAGCAGGTGCGCGACGAAGCTGGCGGCGAAGGGGTTGGCGGCGAGCGGCTCGGTGCGGTACATCTCCCAGAGCAGGTAGAGCGCGGTGAGGCGCTGCGCCGCGCTGGGCAGCAGGTCGGGCTGCTGCAGCAGCATCACGAGCACCGAGCCCAGGCGGAAGTGGTCGGCCTTGCTGAAGTAGTGGTGGAAGGCGGTGGACAGGCCCTCGAACGTGCTGCCGCCGCCCGCCTCCTCCGAGATGATGCTCAGCAAGCTCGAGAGCTCCTTCGGTGTCAGGCTCATCCTGCCTGCGGGGCCGCCCGGGCCTCCGCTCCCCGGCCCGGGGCCGCCTGCTCCTCCTCTGCCGCCCGGGCCTCCGGGACCTCCCGGGCCGCTCCTCGACGCCGACCCGGCCGCTTCCCTGGCCCCCCTTTGCTCCGCGGCGGAGAGAAGACGGCCAGACGCCGCGCTCGCCCCGCCGCCGGGCC